CGGCCCCATCACTCCTTGGCAAATAGAAGGGGAAGTCGTGGAAGTAGTAACAGTCTTCACGCCCCTGGGATCCAAGATCACTGCAGACGGTGACTGCAGCCATGAAATTAAAAGACGCCTGCTCCTTGGGAGGAAGAGAGAGAGAAAGCAAAAGAAAGGTGGAAATAAAGTAAAATAGATGGGGAGGGAAGGAAGAGAGAGAGAGAGAAACAAAGAAAGCAAATAGATGAGGGAGGATGGAAGGAAGAGAAAGGTGGAAAGAATGAAAGAGGTTGAAAGAAAGAAGGAAAGAGAGAAACAGAAACAAAGAAGGCAAATAGGGGAGGGAGGGGGAGAGAGGGAGAAAGAGAAAGAAAGAAAGAAAGAAAGAAAGAAAGAAAGAAAGAAAGAAAGAAAGAAAGAAAGAAAGAAAAAGAGGGGGGAGTGAGGGAAAAAGAGAAAAAGAGAGAGGTGGAAAGAAAACAAAGAAATGGGGAGGGAGGGAGGAAAGGGGAATTGGAAAGGAAGCAACTTTAACTTTAAATGTGTTCTCCAACACCCCTCCACACTCATGTTCCCACGCCAGCTGGCTTGGCTTGGAGAAGGGATTTAAAGAGACAAATGCCTTCTGCTAGCCAGCCGGTGAGGGGGGGTGCTTGGAGAATGCATTTAAAGTTGCTTTCTTTTTCTGCTCCCCCCACCTCAAGCCTACCCAGGGAAGGGAACACTGGCTGTTAAAGGTAAGACCGAGCGGGGAGTCCTGCCTCCACTTCGCTTCCCCAAGAGCTGCATGTGGCTCCCGACTCAGTTTGGCTAGCCAAAGGGACAGTCAAGCTTCCTGCTTCTCCCTCTCCTTCTTCAGGCAAGGAACAGGTAGTTGGAGGTGTCAAATTCTAGAGAGGCTTGAGGAAGGAACTTTTTGGAGATGACAGGAAAAGCTTCCTTGACCTGGCCTGACTGAGGTCAAGGGGGTGGAGTACCAGAGATGATAAAATATCTTGAAAAGAGGAAGGCAGTCTTTTCTTTTTAATAAATACTGTATAACTTTTGATGCTGGGAGCAGTTCACAGTACCACATTGACTTCCACTATCTCAAACATGCTGTCTGAAGAGGGGAGCCAGGAGGAAGGCAGGCAGTTGGCAAGCCACTATTCCTCCAAGGGTACCCAAGGCATTAATCTGTCCCTGCAGCAACCAGGTGCTGGGCAGCAAGAGACACTGAGGCAAGGCCTCTGGACTTGGAAGGGAAGCTGGGAGTCCTGATCCTCCCAGTGGGAAATCCCAACAGTGATCAGGTGGTGGCAGCAGGCTACCTGAGAGTGGAAGAAAAGCCCCTCCAGGAAGCTGGGAACCCCTAGGAGGTCAGGGCGGAATAGGGCCTGCAGGCCAGAGCAGGCACGTTCTGCCACAGCCACCATGACATGGTTGTTTTACTTTTTCTTACAACTTCTGATATACAATTGTCAGGATGTATTACGATAATCACATCTGCAAAATCAAGGATGACCTCCACTCCTAATGTTAAGTGCAGCAATGCCTTTCTCTTCTTGGTTTGTTTTAAAAACAACAACAGATATAGCCATGTCAGCTTCACTTCTCTGCTTAATGAAATGGCCAAGCTCTGTAGCAAGACATTTCATTCCCTCCCCCAAATCCTGCCCCACTTGCCTAACTACAAGGGATCACAGATGAATTTCCTACAAGGATAGATTCTGTATGGCACTGGCAGATCTGGAAAGGATAAATTATGGTAATACACTACGTTGAATAATATAAGACTTAGCATCTTGAATTTCCCCCCATTTTTTATGTTTTAGGAAACAAAGTAGTATAGAGTGGGTACAGAAAGGGGAAAAGGGATTATATAACATAATTGTGCATATCAAGGATAATTATATATAACATATAACAGAGTTGTATAAAACAGATAATATTTCTCCCCAACATCCCCTTCATCATAATTTTTAAGACATGGTCTATAAAATACAATAAATACTTATATTCAACATTTTAGGTTTCAAATTTCATAACCAATTGTGTTTTAGCTATTTTATATACTTTATGTAAACCGCCCTGAGCCTGCTCTGGCAGGGAGGGCGGGATATACATTTAAATAAATAAATTATTGGTTTCATCATTACTACATATTCAATATTACATATTCTCCGGTGGCTCGGTGAGTGGGACAGTCCTTTACTCACAAATTAGGCCCATTAATAACTTGAAGTGCTTTTATAACTTTCCACATTCTACTATGTTCTGTACATATGTTGAGAAAAAACAGTAATGTGAATTCTATTCCCCCCCAGGTGATGTTTTTCAACATACCTTTGATGGCATATCTCTGTTGGTGCCTGCTTCTGCGTTGCCAAGGAAACTGCTTTGGCTCCCACCTGTATAATGTTAAACGATATCATTCTGTGCCTGTCCACCTAACCATGGTGGTCCTATTTTTCTGGCAAGTCTACTCCTGCTTTTTCCTGCTGCAGACCTATGGAGCTATGGCTTTCTTCCTGTCTCCACTGAGGACTTGGATTGTTGGCCTAACTCTCTTTGTGGTCTATAGAAGCTGGACAATGAAGTCTTCTACTCTGAGAATCTTTACTGCGCAAATGAAGAACAATCAAAGTTCTTAATGACTCTTTCTCAGGGGGATCAAGTACTCTTTCACTTAGACTGTTAAGTGGTGAAGCTGTGAGGTGCAGTTTGTATGACTAATGTCCATGCAATCTGAATAACTGAATGTAAAGGTTTGGAGATTTCCCTCCCCCCCCCCTTACAGTGCCTGCCTCAGGAGTTGATTGTATTTGTTGATGGAATCTGTTCTGAATTGCTGTTATATAATGCGAAATGAAGTTCAAGAGTAGAACTTGATACTGTATTGTGATGGTTTCTACTTTTCTATGTTCATAAAATGCTGTAGACATAAACCCAGAAGCACTTAGTGTTTAATTTTGGACAGTATGGAGGACAAAGTGGTCAGTAATAAGTATGCCTGCAATCTAGTGTTGTAAATCTGGCATATCACACACACACCCCTTCAGAGCAGCAGATACCTCACACCAACACTGGAAAATGGTTTTGAAATTCAGTTTCCAGAATGATTGCTATATAGCATTGGTGGCTAACAGAAAAACACAAGCCCAATTCCCACAGGGTATGCTGAGTTATTTGCACAGTTCTCTGGCTTGTGGTCTGTCTTAAATATCTCATGATGTTAAATTTTTATTTTTCAAATGTTGTATATCACTGACTGGCAGGGATGAAAGTAATTTAAGTTTCTTACTGGAAATTTATTTATTTAATTATATTTATACCCCGCCCTCCCCACGAACGGGCTCAGGGCGGCTGTCTCTGTATCGGCAGCTTGAAGCACGATATGGGAGATACTACTTTGGCCAGTTTGGTACCAATACTCCATATTGGCCTGTACCCATATGTTTTCATCCCTGGTGCCTGCCAAACTGTGGAGTGTGCCATATATGAAGTCATTACTATGAGAGGGTAGTATCTACTTTTATAGAGTCTTGGATGCTGTGTGCATGCACAAAAATGGCAGTCAATGTCAAGTTCTCCTGTTCCGTACCATGTATTACACCTTCATGCCTTGATGCCAGTCCACGTTACCTCTAGGTTTCAGTCCAGAGTTTTCTTCTACCTGTGAAAGGGGGGGATATACCAATGCTAACCCTTTAAGCCACATTTCAGGAATTATGTGATGGATGAATCTATTCTGCAAGGAGAGTTCCACCTGTAGTTCTTTGGATGAAATCCCTAGTGTATGTACTCTGCATCCAATAGGGTACAGAAGCAAGCCTCTCCACATATATAGTACTATGTATGACTGGTCCTGTGTGTGTGTCAACCTTTTCCCCTAAAAGTGAGTGTTTTGAGACATGTAATCTAAAGATATGTTCCTTTAACCTAACACTCGCATACATTTGGATCTATATACAAACTCTTGCTGTATTTGCACAAATCACTGCTGTGTGTTTTTACCAAAATATAACTGCTAATATAATTCAAAAATAAAGTATTGTGTGATTTTCACTTTTTACTTTTTATATTTACTAACCATATGCTGTTTTTCTCCAAAAGAGTTTGGGCAGTTGACTGAATTGAGGACAAGAGTCTAAATATATAGCTTTTTATGTAATAAACAAAGCTAAGCAGCACACTTCAGTGACCAGTCCTTCTTTCCATGAAGGAAACCAAAGAGCTGGATTAAACAAATCATTAGTTTAGTTGCAAATACATGCTTGCATACACAATTTTTCCTTTAAAAGATTTATATTAGTGCAGATTTTAATGCTGGAATGAAAAGACAGTTCCCAACCCTTGTAATGTTAATATAGGAGTAGGGCACTTTAAGAGGAGAGTAGTTAATCCTTCCCACCCCACCAAGGCGTTAAAGCCTATAGGGAAAACTTCCTAGGTAGGGGAAGATCAATAGCTTCCCCTTCTTCCCAAAAATTCCCAAGCCCCCTGCCTTCTGTTTACCAGTGAATACAAGTTGAAGAGCACACATCTGCCAAGATAATGTGTAGTTATACCTGTAGCATTCTTTCTGTATGATCCCTTACTCGGTCATCTTTCTCAAACTACATCTTAGTTCAGAAGTATACCATCCAATGTTACCCAAATAGGGTCTCATGAAAGGGCTGTAATATGCAATGTATCCGTTACACACGTTAAGACCCAACATGCATCACCTGGACAATTAACGTTGGAATCTTCTGCCTGTGGATACCAGGGACCCAATTTGGGGCAGCATTCCACAAAATATGAGGCAGAAAATAAAGGTCTTTTTTCCTAAACAAGAAGAAGAAGAAGAGATTGGATTTATACCCCGCCCTTCGCTTGGAGTCTCAGAGCGGCTTACAAACTCCTTTCCCTTCCCCTCCCCACCACAGACACCCTGTGAGATGGGTGGGGCTGAGAGAACTCTGACACAAACTGCTCTTTTTCAAGAACAGCTGTGCCAGAGCTTGTGACTGACCCAAGGTCACATCAGCAGGTGCAAGTGAAGGAGTGGGGAATCAAACCCGGTTCTCCCAGATCAGAGTCCGCGCACTTAACCACTACACCAAACTGGCTCTCTAGAACAAGAACAGAATGAAAAAATAGAAAGGCAAACAAAATAGAAATAGCAAAACAAGACAAGACACTAAACAAATGCAAAACCTTTACATAAGTCTACCTACCTATCAGCTGTTGCTTATTGGGGGGAAACTTGAAAAGGGGAGAGAAGCTTTTTGAGGGAATAAAGGAGAAAAAAAAAACATATGAGCCTGATCCTGAACAGAAAAGATGGGTGAGAGTCCAGCTGAGGATCAGGTGATTTAAAAAAAGGTCTGGGAATGAAATTCCAGTGTTTAAAGGATGGAAAAGCTCAGCTATTTAGGCTGACCGTGGTTGGGGCATGGTTGGAAGATGTGCCTAGGAGCTTAACTGAATCAAGTTGGCAAGTGCAGGATATCACTGGCAGAGATCCCGGAAGGCCTCCACTGGTTTTCTGAGTGGCTGCCACCATTCTCCTGTAGCATCCCTAATCACATACCCTATCACCCTCCACAACGTCTGTCACACAGGTTCAGGTCTACAGGGGGGTCAGTTTGCCACCCAATTTGCCCCTTTTAACAATACAGAGACTCTTTCACACACCATGTCCCCCCCTCATTCACAGAGACACCACCAGACAGGAAAGCCCAGTTCCCTTTAATAAGCATCCATTATTGAAACAGAGCTATTGAGGTTGGGACTCAAACGGTGCTTCAGACATACACTGCCACCATTTAGTAATACACAAACACACCTTGAGATTGTATCCGTATGTGTGCCTTCAGCATGACCATACATATCCAGTCCACAAAGATAAACAAGGAGTTATGCTTTTATTTATAGTTTAAACACAACAGATAAACGATTACAAAGTGTCTCCACACTTGAACTTTGGAACCATAGGTCTAGTCAAGCATTTAGGATTCTTTGTTACAAGTTGACTTTCTCCCAGCCAGCATCAGCTTACTGTTCTGCCATACCCAGGCTTAAATTTCCAACTCCTTACCCAGCCAGTTCTGTCTCTCCCTCTAACTGAATGACATTAACTGTCAGCCTCTCATCAACATTCTGTCATCTCCAGTGGTCATTCTTAGGGGGAGGCAGAACTTAACCTGTCCATCACAAGTCAGGAGCCTCAGTTATCCAGCAAGCTGACTGAGTCAATTGCCAAAGTGTGGAGGGAGCTCTAGAGGCCTGAAACAAATAGTATTTTATTACTGTACTCCACAGAGCATTCCAGCAGGTGGGCTACTCCCTTTTTAGACTATCCCAGGGAATTCCTGCCCGGGGGGGGGACCAAATTCAATATCAGGGCCCCCAAATTTAATATCAAGCAGGATGTTTTATCCAGGCCTTTGGCAGTCTATCCAGAAGATCTTTAGGGGTTAATAACTACTGGATTAATAACTATTGGGGATCCCCATGTGGGGGCAGCCTTGTGGGCATCATCACCATGGAGCTTCAGTTACTTAACATTAAGTAGCACTGAGCTTTAATAAAAACATCAAGTTCTGCTCTTCCATATCAAATTTCATTAATCAGAAACTTTTAATTCTAGTCTTTTTCTTTGGATGGATACATAGAATTGATATTTTATTCTCATGTACACAAACATATTGTAACAATCTAGCTTTTTATGTAGAATATTCATACAAAGAGAGGTCCTCCCTTTTTTGCATCATAAACCAAAAGGTGCAGAGAGAAAGCCAGTCTCTAGCCTCTGTCTTCCACAACAGAAAGGAACAGAGACTTACACTGATGTACTATTATAACAATATGTGTCTCTGAATTCTCAGCTTTCATTTTAAAACAAAAGTCTCTAGCACTTTCTGTTATGTAGGTAAGGAGATAGAGACTTACTTTCTTTTTAAAATAAAATCTAATAATTCACAGACCTTGTTATAACAGTATATCAATGTAACAATATTCAGTTGCCAATTTAAAAAACAAAAGCCCAGTGGAAGGGGGAGGAAGTGGCCACCATGGGGACAGCGTCAGGTAAAATGGCTGGCATGTGGGTTAGGGAAAATACAGATTTCCTCACTCATAGAATAGTTATGCAGGGTTTACTGTGATCCTTCCAAAAACGATGCAGCAAAGAAAGATCAGAGAAAAGCTGGGGGAACCCTGGAGGTAATACTGTTCCCCACAATGCTGTGGGAAGCAGAAAAATAAACACTTCCCAAAAGCATTGAACCTGGGGCAGATAACCTGTGCGAAAGTGGACAAGAGACCCAGGGTGAAAGCTAGACTTATGTGTTAATAGCATCAGGTTGTCTAAACATTAGATCTAGATATATATAATTTCCATTTTGAACAGATAAAAATTAGTTGCCCGATTTTTATGAACACTGTTAAAAGTGAGGGTACAGAATTCACTTTCTGGTCAGTTAATGCAAACAGTATTTTTAGCAAAAACAAGATATGCCTGACTTCAGCAACTTCTTGTTTTTTTCTGCATAACAGTAAAAGATCTTTTTAATCCGAAACATGTACAATCTGTTTTCCAATGTTGCCTCCACTCATCACGGACTGGAAAGCAGCTATAAGAGAACAAAAGTAAGAAATCAAACTATCCTTATGTTACCATTTCTTAAGTGTAACAGCTTGCTTTGTGGATGTAAATTTACTGATGAAATAATGTCAATTCTGTTAATGTTTTTAAAAATATGCTTGTAAGATTCCAGAATCAATCTTGTGCCTGTAATTTGAACATGCTTCTGAAGATGAATTGGAAGAATTTATTGCTTTTGGAAGAATCGGTGGGTTAGTGTAACAGGGAGCTACTGGCCCAAGGTTTCACAGGAAGCTCCATAGCTGAATGGGGTCTTCTTGGGTCTAGTGCAACATTCTAACAATTACACCACACTGACTTCAATTGATGCAGTTCTATGGAAAAGGCTTTTCACAGTATTTGGGTACTTGTTGTGCCTGTCCACTTTATTAAAACATTTGTATCCTTCCTTTCCATCCAGTCACAATATCTGGCAAGCAATTTAAACAACATGAATTAGTCCTTCTTAGAGAAAATTCTTCTAGACATGGCTACCAATGCTTATTTGGTAAACCCCCTCTGAAAAAGTCCCTTAGAAAAACTGGCAGCAGATAACAGTGATGGGCAGGTGGGCTTCTCCTCTGCAAATCTAAGTATGACCCCACCCCCTGCTGCTGTCTCCTCTTTTCCAAGTGGCAGAGAGGGCTGAGAGGATCACAAAGCAACTATCTTCACCCCAATCCGGTTGTCCCAGCAGTCATTATATGGCTGCATTCGTTCTGCAGATGGGCCCCAAAATCTGCCTCAGCTAGGCTACTTTGGGGTGCGCTTTTGGAGGCCTATGGTCAGGCAGTGGCAATATCAACATTTGACTTGGTGCTCATCTTTTGTGTAACCTCCATTGCCCAGAATGCCCTCGTAACCTGCTGCTTCTACTTTGTGTTCTCCTTAGTAACAGTTCCCACCTACAGCTTTTCTCTACCTGGCTGATGTCCACCTCCTTTTCTTCATCACTCCTTTGCTCATCCCTGGCCCTGGTCACATGGGCAGGAAACTGTGGGGGGGAAGTGTGGCTGTTTGCCCCGGGGCAAACTACCGCGCGGTTACTCGATCAGACCTCCCGTGGAGGCCTTGTGGAGGTACCGTGGAGGTTCCGTGGGAAGGGAGAGGCGCTGATCGCAGGACAAGCCAGCGCGCAACGAAGAAGCGCGCAGCGCGGCAAACTGGTTGTCTTTTTTTCTGTACACGACAAATGCGCATGCTCCGTTGGGTGCATGTGCACATCCACAGAGACTTGGGGGGAAAAAACTTTATTTGCAAGGGGACATGGGCGGGCACCGGATGCCACCGGAAACATGATCAGACGCCCGCCCTTGCCCCACAGTTTCCGGAAAGCCTCAGTTGAGCCACGGGAGTGCTACGCTTCCCAGATGTGCTGGTAAGATTGCGCCCGGAAACTCCGCCTGTCTTCCGTCTCACTTGTGTGGCTTCTGTTCCGTGTGACCGCAGCCCCTGTCTATTTTTGTCCACCCTTTTTTCTGCCACCCTATCCATGACCACCTTCTCCTCCAATTATACCTACAAAAATCAGAGTACCAAAGGTTTATCAATGACAGTTCAAATCTTATCAAGTATATTTTATTCCATCCTTCCTCGAAGGAGCTCAAAGCAGGATAATGGTTTTCCATGCTTCCATTTTATCCTCTCAACAATGCTGTCATGTAGGATAGGGCCAAGAGAAAGGGGCTAACCCAAGGACACCCAGCCAGTTTTATGGCTGAGAAGGGATTTGAACCTGGACCTCGCTAGGCCTAGTCTAACTACTATGCCACACTGGGTCTCTGATCAATAGCTTTCAAGTATATCAGGCTCTACATAATCTGCTGCATGACTAGTTCCCAACCACCATACATCTGCACTTCAAACAGCCTTGGGAAAGTTTAAGAGCATCCTCCCCACTCTATATGCTCAAAAACAGGTAAGAAATAATGCAGTGGCCCCCAACGTGGTGCCTGTGAGCATCATGGCGGCCACCAACCCCTTTCTTGGAGCCTGCCAAGTGTTTTTTAGAAAGTGGGTGGTGCTAGGTGGGGCTTTTGCCCAGCAAGGCTTCTGATTATCCATTAGAGATTTGTTTGGCTGTGCAGATATTATTCCGGCCCTCATTCAGCCAGGAGGAGGCAGGAGAAGAGGGAGGGTAAGTTGCTTCCTCCCTGCCTCTCCCCACCCCACTGAAAGTAAGTTGTGACAGCCATTTTGTGGCTAGCTCTGTCTCCTGTGGTTGGCTCTGTGTCCATTTTATGGCTGGCTGTGCTTCTTGCAACAGCCCTTTTATTTATTTATTTATTTATTTATTGTTTTCGATTTGTATCCCGCCTTGCTGGGCGAACTGGCTCAAGGCTTTGTGGCTGTGCCCACCACTATGTCAGATATCCAATTGTGCTCACAGGCTCAAAAAGGTTGGGGACCCCTGAAATAATGGGGTGGATCCAGATTATATTTGCTAGTGACAGAACTAAACCTTCCTGGCTCCATCCTTCCACTGTAGCCCACTGATCTCTACAAAATACTGCTCCTGGAGTGTGGGACTGGAAGACCCTGAGGAATGAATAATAGAATCATAGAATGTTAGAGTTAGAAGGGACCTTGCAGGTCATCTAGTCCAACCCCCTGCACTCTGCAGGAGCATAGCTGAAAGACAGCCCTACATACCTACAACATACCCGAAAGATGGTTGTCCAGCCTCCGCTTGAAAACGTCGAGGGAAGGAGCATCCACCACCTCCCAAGGCAGACTGTTCCACTGCTCAACCACTCTTACAGTTAGGA